ACTTGGAGAAAACCGCTGACCAGAAAACTGCTTTATATGGAACGAGGCGGCACGGGTTTCATTATTACGTTGTGCCAATCTTAGAAATTCGAAGAGTTTCTTTTGTTGATATATCAGCATGCAATTTCCTGGCTTTTATACTGGCTCGAACATCTACCGTTTGTGCTGGTGGCAAAATCACAACGGAGTTAAAAAGCATTTCTTTTCACGGACATCGCCATCTAGATTTTTCCCGCCAATCGTATTTACGACTTTCACAAGTAACAACATGTCTTTTCTGTACATACCTCGATCCTAGCTTTTAGTAATGACGTTTTCTGAATAATTACAATTTTTCCTCAGATTTCTAGTTCTGTCATATTTTTTTCGAAAGTGCCTTCAGAGGCTTTAGTGGTAGTATTACCTGCAATTATTATTGTTAATAGTTTGTTAGTTTGTTTTGTTTTACGGCATATCAACCTCAATGGGTCATTTAATGCCGAAAACTTTTTTTTTCCGGGTAATATTTTTGCTTTGTCAAAAATCTATTTCTGCTAATATTTTTTCTTAAAAACATAGAACTGGTAATACTATTTTTTAAAAACGTATAGCTGACAATATTATTTGTTCAAAAACGTATAGCTGGCAACATTATTTTTTTCAAAAACGTATAACTGGCAACATTATTTTTTTAAAAACATCATCAGAGGCCTTGCTGTTGGACGTAGTTTATCGTCATACCAGGACGCGGATTTAGTTTATCGTCATACCCAGGACGCGGATGTAGTTTATCGTCATACCGAGGAAGCGGATTTAGTTTATCGTCATACCCAGGACGTGAATGTAGTTTATCGTCTTACCTGGGACGCGGATGTAGTTTATCGTCATACCCAGGACGCACTGTTAATAGTAGTAGTAATATTATTAGTATTAGTATTACTAATAGTATTATTTTCTCCTCTTGGTAAGGTTTTTCGTTTGCAACCGAGCTTGTATTATGGAAGTTCTTAATCAAGTTGTACGACCACAAGCAGAGAAAACCGAAATTTGCAGTGCCAAGAAAGGCTTCAGCATCGATGTGATACACGTCTTTATTCTGATTTTCTTAATGCAAGACTTTAAATTCGCTGGTGTAGATCCCAAAATTCTAATCATAATTGGCAAAATAGTGGCCTGAACATTCTACATTCCGCCAACTTCAATTCTTTGAACCTAATATTATCCGCCCTGTAGGCTGGGGCTGAAGAATACGCTTACTGCACCTCTGCAGAGGGGTAAGACCTCCACTCCGCCAAATGGGGCGTCCCGGGTATGACGATAAACTACATCCGCGTCCAGGGTAAGACAATAAACTACGTCCAACAGTAAGGCCTCTGATAAGGAGATTTGGAAGAACGTGGAACCACCTCTTAATTGTTGGTGTTCCCAGGTCCACTCTGACCCGGGGTGGTAGTACCTGTTAGGGTCCCAGCTATGGGCAAATAGTTAACCACGATACTGAGGTAAAAAGCATTATAAAAGTGTAAAAATAGGTTTTAATACCAGAAAATTTTTTTCTCTTGCAATTTACAGAATCTTCAATAACAGATTCTAACAAACATCCTTTCGAATCAGAACTCATTAACAAAATTTAATCTTTCACTAAACTTGAGTTCAACATAAATTAAACTAACAAGATTTCACCTAAAAAAAACTACATTTTTGTAAAATATTTTCATTACAAAAATATATTGAAATTTACTTCTTTATCAAATATTTGCCTTTTGTCTTTTAAAACAAATGTTTCTTGTTGTTTTCTCTTGTTGTTTTTTTGCATGTTTGCTTAACATATTTGGAGAGTAAAAAATTGTATGGATTGATTTGGGCCGTCAACACCATTAAATAAATGGTAACTACCAAACTACAATACATATCAAGAGACTTGGTAACGAGCTTTGGAGTAAAGATTTGTAGAAAAATAGATTTGGTAATGGTAGAGGGAAGATTAGCCGTTGCCTTATAAGGAAACATTTAGAATTCTGTACTCAAACAGCGTTAGTGTCGGTTGAAATGAAAAATGAAATTCTGAAAACAGTTTTTGCAGGAAAATACGTTTCTCATCTTTATAGCTATTTCACTTTCTAGTATCGACAAAAGGTTGCTTTCTATTTTTTTGATTAAGATAGTGTTTTCTAATTTTTTGATTAAGATAGTCTTTTCTAATTTTTTGATTTAGATAGTCTTTTCTAATTTTTTGATTAAGATAGTCTTTTCTAATTTTTTGATTAAGATAGTGTTTTCTAATTTTTGCTTAAGATAGTGTTTTCTAATTTTTGCTTAAGATAGTGTTTTCTATTTTTTTGATTAAGATAGTGTTTTCTAATTTTTTGATTAAGATAGTCTTTTCTAATTTTTTGATTAAGATAGTCTTTTCTAATTTTTTGATTAAGATAGTCTTTTCTATTGAATTTATAGTCAATAGAAAAGAATAAAGAAATATTTAAAAAGAAAATTTTTCATGCTTTATTAATTGTTACTTTTTTCAGTGCAGATATACAAATTCCTCTTTAAATCTAAAATTGAAATCTAATAATTTTAATTTAAATATAACTTTTAAACAAATTTAAAATGTAATGGGACTAAATTTTGATTGAATAATTTTAATTTAAATCTAATAATTCCTACTTTTTTTAGTACCTTTATAAAGGATCGGCTTTAAATCAAAAATTGATATCTAATAATTTTAAACAAATTTAAAATATAATGGGACTAAATTTTAATTTAAATCTAATAATTGTTTTTTTTTAATACCGATATACAAGATCCTCTTTAAATCTAAAATTGAAATCTAATAATTTTAATTTAAATATAAATTTTATATAAATTTAAAATACAATGGGACTAAATTTTAATTGAATAATTTTAATCTAAATCTAATGATTGTTACTTATTTTCTGTACCGATAAACAAGAACCTTTTTATATCTAAATTTGAAACCTAATAATTTTAATTTAAATCTAATAATTGTTACTTTTTTCAATACCGATAAATTTAAAATATAATGGGGTTAAATTTTAATATAATAATTTTAATTTAAATATAATAATTGTTATTTTTTTTTCAGTATCGATATACAAGTTCCTCTTTAAATCCAGCACGGTCACTGGGACCAGCTTTTGTGACGAATAGATGGAACAGTCATTGGGTAAGTACCTTATTTTTCTGTAATATTCAAATTCATGTCAAAATATCAATTTGGATAATGTAAACGATTTTTAAAGTTTTCGCCTTTGAGCTGTTAAGAAGCACAATCCAACAATTACTTTAAAAAAAAGTCAGTCATTGCAAAAAGGAGTTTAACAAAACCGCCAACCATACAAGGAATCAGTATTGATACGCGAAATATTGTCTGGCACAAAGAACAAAAGAGAAATAACTGTAACAATGTAAGTATAAAATAGAAGAGAATAAGTTAAGGCTCAATATTAAGGTGGGGGGGGGAATAAGATCTACGAAATAAAAATATGCCACACAATTTGCTATAAATATATTTTAGAAATTAAATATATTGGGTCACTTGGTGGTCATAAGTCAAGCAAAGAAAAAACAATGTGGCGGTGCCTTTTATTTGGTCCGTGAATTGACGAATCATCAATTAAGGAAAAAGCCAGATTTCCTGATTAAAAAAAAAGAGTTGTTCCTTCCAAAATTCTTCAGTGAAAATTTTCGCCACTATTTTTTTATTATTTTCATTACAATTTTACTTAATTTTCAATTTCACGTAATTCTACGACTGCCCCGTAATGAGCATGGATATAATTAATGGACCGCTAATGAATTATTAATTTACTAGCAGTATTAGACATCTTCGACCGGGTGTTTCCTTACTGGGAATTTTTGCCGTTCAATTGGAGCAGTTTAAGTTTAAAGTCAGCCCACCTGAAAATCAATATTAATAACAACAATTAAGTATAACTGATACACATCCCCAAATGGGGAGGTTAAGAATTTGTAGAGATGGGGGCTGAAAAGGGCCATTTTTGCGTTCTCAATCTTGCAAGGAAGGAACCTCTTCCATGGTGCGCCATAATAATAATAATAATAATAATAATAATATACGATAATTTTTATTTATAATATAATTTTTTTATAACTCTAATAATCTTTTGCGTTAGATTTCAACTCTCTAAATTAATTGTACGCTGTTTTTTTACAGCCATTAAACTTTACCTTTGATTTTTGTCGCAAAGTGTAAAAAATCTGTTTTTTTCGATTTTTCTCCTTCAAGGTTGTAATTTTTTTCCAGCCAATTTGGACTCAAAACTGGCACTGAAGAATTATATATCAAACAAGAAAAATTCTCTGAAATCGGATAAAAACTGTGGAGATGCATAAACAACATCCGATCACACACACACACATACACACACATTTTGAGAATTCTAGATATAGATTTGACGTTTACCGTTTCCGCAAAATGCGGAAATCTTCTCGAAGCAGGAGTTCCAGATAATTGGTGCTCAGCTTCCTATTCATATGACGTTCGGTATGAATTTATTTTCAATATTTTAAGCGATTCATTTCTTCACACGGCCAACATAAAGCAGTCCAAAAAGCCAACCAATGTGTGCTGCAAAACGGAAAAAATTCGTTAAAAACAAAGAAAAGAGCGCTGAATTGATACCCGATATCCATCCTCTTATAGAATACAGAATGCTAGACAATTTTCACATGGGAGAGTAGAAAACTCAGGGCAGCAGAAATGTGGTTCTACAGGAGGATACTGAGGGTTCTATGGATGGAGTGAGTAAGCAACAAGGAAGTGTTAAATAAAATGGCAACAGAAAGAACACTAATAATCAGAATCAAGAAAAGACAATTGAAAGAAAGAAAGAAAGACTGGGAAGGAATAAAAGAAAGAAAGAAAAGAAAGAAACAAAGAACAAAAAAGAAACAATGACAGAAAGAAAAAGCATTAAAATATTAAAAAAGAAAGAACGCAAGATGAAATCAAACAAAAGAAAGAAAAAAGCAGTGATATGTTAAAAAGAAAGAAAGAAAGAAAGAAAGAGTGAAAGGAAAAAGAAAGAATATGGAAAAGATAGTTGAAAACAAAGAAAGAGGGGACAGCGGGATAGGAAAAAAACGAAAAAGAAGGCAGGAAAGAAAGAAAGAAAGAAAGAAAGAAAGAAAGAAAGAAAGAAAGAATGAAGGAAAGAATCAGGCAAGAACAGCTGTAAACAAAGAAAGAAAAAAAGAAAGAGGAACGAATAAACAAAAGAAAGAAAGAAAGAAAGAAAGAAAGAAAGAAAGAAAGAAAGCGAAAAATAAAAAAAATAAGGAATGAAAAAAGAAAGAAAGAAAGAAAGAAAAGAAAGAAAGAAAGAAAAGAAATAAAAATGAGGAATGGAAAGAAAGAAAGAAAAGAAAGAAAAAGAAAGAAAAGAAAGAAAGAAAAAGAAAGAAAGAAAGAGAATAATAAAAAAAATGAGGAATGGAAAGAAAGAAAGAAAAAAAGAAGAAAGAAAGAAAGAAAGAGAAAAATAAAAAATGAGGAATAGAAAGAAAGAAAGAAAATAAAAAAATAATGAGGAATAGAAAGAAAGAAAGAAAGAAAGAAAATAAAAAAATAATGAGGAAAGAAGAAAGAAAGAAAGAAAGAAAGAAAGAAAGAAAGAAAGAAAGAAAGAAAGAAATAAAAATGAGGAATGGAAAGAAAGAAAGAAAGAAAGAAAGAAAGAAAGAAAGAAAGAAAGAAAGAAAGAAAGAAAGAAAGAGAATAATAAAAAAAAATGAGGAATGGAAAGAAAGAAAGAAAGAAAGAAAGAAAGAAAGAAAGAAAGAAAGAAAGAGAAAAATAAAAAATGAGGAATAGAAAGAAAGAAAGAAAATAAAAAAATAATGAGGAATAGAAAGAAAGAAAGAAAGAAAGAAAATAAAAAATAATGAGGAATAGAAAGAAAGAAAGAAAGAAAGAAAGAAAGAAAGAAAGAAAGAAAGAAAATAAAAAATAATGAGGAATAGAAAGAAAGAAAGAAAGAAAGAAAGAAAGAAAGAAAAATAAAAAATAATGAGGAATGGAAAGAAAGAAAGAAAGAAAGAAAGAAATAAAGAAAGAAAGAAAGAAAAAAAAATGAGTAATGGAAAGAAAGAAAGAAAAAAACAAAGAAAGAGAAAAAATAAAAAATAATGAGGAATGAAAAGAAAGAAAGAAATAGAAGAAAGGAAAGAAAGGTCACATACATCCAAACTTAAGTAAAGAATCGAGATTTGGCGAGCGTTGTTTCGGAACTTATTAGAATGAAGCTGTCAGCCGGAAGTTATAGGCTGCAGTATGATGGCGTCGACGGATGTAATCAAGAAGGAAGTGTACGGCACTAGTTAACGTTACTGGTAATGTCGCCCATACGGGCTCTGGCGCGAGAGAGCAAAAGAAGGTTACAAAGGGATCTACCTCGTCTCTCTGTCTCCACATGTTCGGCTTAATCATCTGTCTATCTGTCTGTCTATCTTAGTTACGTTCCTGCCTGTCATAATCTGTTGCTATCTACCTTCCTATCTCTCTGTTACAGTCCGTTCATATCTAACACAGTCCGTTCAATACATGTCTGTCTATTTATCTCCGGGGTGGAGCAACAAATATTCTGGCTATCCCACCTACAGAGAAAGGTGGTTGGGTTTTTTTTGGGGGGTGGGGGGGATTCTCCGTGTAAATTAGCTGACAGGCAGGCAGGGTATTGTATCAGCAGACTTCAACCAACGGTAAATGTTCTAAAAACTATTTTCCTTTCATCCGCTAAGATACCTTATCCAAGTAAATACATTTTTTCCAGTTGGACAAATAAACAAATAAGACTCTTTCTTTTTGATGGTGTTAGTGAATATCTGTATTTACTAAATGTATCTATATCTGGTACAAGGCCAATAGTAATGGCTGACTGTCGAGGAAAGAGACACCCTATTTAAAATCATACTTATTATAAAACCCAGGTTGTGTGTGTGTGTGTGTGTGTGTGTGTGTGTGTGTACGTTTATATATTGGATCGGATTTCCTACATTTTTCAACCGATTTCAACTAAACATCACAGGACTACATAAAATTACCTTGTGGTGGTTCTGACAGCACCAAAAATTGGAAACACACAATTGTTTTTGCACGTAATCAATTTGAAAACACGATTAAGAGGCATCGCTGTCGAGAATGAAAGGGGGACAACTCATATAGAGTTATACTTATTATAAAACCCAGGTTGCTTGTGAGTGTGTGTCTGTGTTCGTTTATATATGGGATCGGATTTCCTACATTTTTCAACCGATTTCAACAAACATTTCAAGGCAGGTTGTTTTTATGTGTGTGTTCGTTTATATATGAGATCGGATTTCCTACATTTTTCAACCGATTTCAACAAAACTTCAGTTTTTTTTTTTTTTGGCAGGTAGTGTTTCTTATTGTCTTGCACACTTTTTTCTTTATTTTTACATTCAGAATGCTTTAAAAATTCCATTTACAAGACAATTGTTTATAATAAAATTCTATTCAATCGGTAGACTCATAACGATTGAAAACAATGTTTTTGTTTGAGTTTGGGTTTGACCAATTCGTAAAAAAATAAAATAAAAAAAAAACTAATTAAGATATGCGTGTCCGTCAACCTTAAACAATAACCTTTGTCAATTTTATTTTTCAATCTTTATGATGGTCGATACTTGATCTATCTCTTACTGTTACATCCCCGTGCAACTCCGGGCTCTACTGCTAGTCGTTAATAAATTTATTAATTATTGGTGGATTTTAATAAAAACATTTTATTTTGAAGAGTACCCTGGTAAATGTCCTGTTCGATGTCAAAATTCTATATTTGCAATTATTATCTCCCTCTCTCAACAAAAGGTATTTAGATTACCTGCACATTGGTTATTCGCAGAAGACTAATCCACCAACCGATTATCTTTTGTATATTTTCTTCCAATCTGGACGTTGAAGGACGACAGCTTCTCTGTGTATCTACCACAAATCCCGTACACATCAGCTTGGAAAGACAATCTACATCAATATATATATATATATATATATATATATATATATATATATATATATATATATATATATATATAAAAGAAATATGTTGTAGTGGTTCCAACGAGAGAAAAGTATGTATATTAAAAAGAAGAGAGGTGCCGTTTTTTTTGGTTGTAATGTGGATTTATTTAGAAAAAATTATGCTTTGTTTTACATAATTTTACTACGACACGTGTTTCTGGTCTCGCGACCGTCTTCAAAAAAAGTGGAATTTCTACATATTATTAAAAAAATTAATTTTTCTTCATGTTCAATGAAATGTTCTCGAGAGACATTCTCTGTTTGTGTGTTGGCAATCCGAATTTTCACAAACAGAGAATTGTCAATGATTAAACATTTCTGCATTGAAGGTGAAAAAAATTAAATTTTTGTCCAATATGTTATCGGCATTTAATCTTTTAATGAGAATGAAGACTTAATTGAGACCAGAAACACGTGTCGTAGTAAAATTTGTAAAAAACAAAGTAAAATTATGTAAACAAATAATATTTTTTCTAAATAAACCACATTACAACCAAAAACGTTTGCGGCACCTCTTCTTTTTTTAATATATATATATATATATATACAGGGTGTCCCAAAATAATGTATACCCTCTTTGAATCGTTATGACTCATTCCATTTATGTAATTTGACTTGTAAATAAGATTAATACTTACCATGGTTGATATTGTTAAGGAGGTGGCTTCTTGATAATATTTGCCTGTAAAGAGAATCCCAATATGTGGCACAGTTGGAAAAGGCCTGAAAATCGCTATGGTTGGAGCCAAGCTTTGGGAGTGAAACATATATATATATATATATACAGGGTGTCCCAAAATAATGTATACACTCTTTGAATCGTTATAACGTGTTCAATTTATGTATTTTGACTTGTAAATAACATTAATACAAGAGAAAGAATACACATTTAAAATATTTGAGAGTAAAATATACAAAAAAACATAGAAAATTAACTTTAATAAGATAAAAGCTACTTGGAGCAATGGCAGAATGTTCTTATAATGATGAGTTTACATCAAGTGCTCAAATTGGCTGCCGTTCTGTTAAATACACTTTTCATATCCTGAAGAAATAGACCTACAAATGTCCAGTATCATTTCCTCTGATATTTGAGCACATTCTTCTTCAATTGCTACTTTCAGATTTCTATGACGTCATAGAACCGCATCTTGAACTTACAATCTGCGTCTGCCATTCCACGACCATTAACGTTGTATAGCAATCTTCTATGTCAAAATAACAAAATATCATTTTTGACGGTGGATATCTTTGTTTCATGCCTGTATAACCACTCTGAGGCTGGCTCATGTGAGCCGAATGCTTAGAATCAATCAAATATTGGACAATTTTTGTCTTTATTTTCACCAGAAATTAAAGCTAACATTCAAACAGTAGAACGGCTCATGATAAGACATAATAGATATTCCTTGTCTGATATATTTAATCATATATATATATATATATATATATATATATATATATATATATATATATATACAAATATCTTAACAGATCCCGTACGCATCAGCTTAGACTGACAATCTACATCAAGAAAAATATATATATATATATATATATATATATACACACAAATATCTTAACAGATCCCGTACGCATCAGCTTAGACTGACAATCTACATCAAGAGAAATATATATATATATATATATATATATATATATATATATATACACAAATATCTTAACAGATCCCGTACGCATCAGCTTAGACTGACAATCTACATCAAGAGAAATATATATATATATATATATATATATATATATATATATATATATATCTTAACAGATCCCGTACGCATCAGCTTAGACTGACAATCTACATCAAGAGAAAATATATATATATATATATATATATATATATATATATATATATAAAGATCTAAACAGAGCCCGTAATCATCAGCATAGAAAGACAATTTCTGTTATGGTTTTGGTATCTGCTGAAGCACTGAGTTATTTTTGCCTTAATCTGAGGTACGCCTGTATTTACTCTGGGGTACTCCGGTATTTAGTCTGGGGGTATCCCTGTTCTTAGTCTGCGGCATCCCTATCTTTAGACTAGAGTATCCTTATTTTTAGACAAGAGCATCACTGTCTTTAGTCTGGGGTATCCCTGTGTTTAGTCTGGAGTATCCCTGTCTTTAGTTTGGGGTATCCTTGGTTACTTTGGGGTATTTATGCCTTTAGTCTAGGGGATGTATGTGTTTAGTCTGGAGTATCCCTGTCTTTAGTCTGTGGTTTGGTGTGTCTATGTTTTAGTCTTGTATATCTATGTCTTTCGTCTGGGGTAACTATATCTTTAGTCTGGGGTATCACTGTTTTTAAACTGTAGTATCCCTGTTTTTAGTCTTTGGTATCCTTGTCTTTAGTCTCGAGTATCCTTATCTGGTTTATCCCAGTCTTTAGTCTGGATTATCCTTGTCTTTAGTCTGGAGTATTGGCCGGGGTGTGGGTGTACCTCCCCATAATGGTGTCGGTTCTATATCATAATAGATTTTCATTGGTCATAAACTAAGTAGTTCTTGTACCAGTTGTAATATGTCAAAGATTTTACAACTTCAACAAAATTTAAAGTTGGGATATGCCAGAGGTCTTCGTTTAGTCGTCAGAATATCGAAATATAATTCAGACATTTTTTGGTTGCAAAATGAAAGTGGAATAAAAAGACGAAGAAGTAATGAGGCATTTTTATTTTAGTCGAAAAAGAAAGCAATTTTTACTTTTGAAACCCCCTATCTCTGACTTAGTCTTACGTCTTTGTTACTTGCTGATCTCTGTGTCTAGATGATCATTTATTGTGTTTTTGGGGTCGAAACCACGTAATATAATGTATAACTAGATTACGTAATCAGCTTACGTACTTTTCTCTCATTTGCCCACGTTTAATATACATGTATCGTTTTGGCGAACCTGCAGTTATGATCCATATTTAAAACTTGTTTTTAAGAAAATTCTCGGATTAAGGTAGTCATATTAATCTATATAATAATTATAATAATTGCGAATGTCAGTGTGTCACTGTGTCATATTTTTTCAATTTTACTCCTTTATGCCGTAGCACAACATATTATATCATATAGGAATCAGTCCAACTCCATGAGCAAATGAAAAACATTCCCGCCTGGATCCGGATATGCAATTCTG